GCCACCCCCAGTGTTCATGTTTCGCACCCATACAGCGCCGCGCTCCAAACATACACTTTTAACAACCTTTTTTGAATTTCTAACGTAAGCGTTCGCGAGCACCATAGTTTATATCTCTACCGCTCCTTCTATCCTGAGTTACCTGACTGAAAATCAGTCACTTCTTCTAATTTTTCGTTTTCTATTATATTATATGCGCTTATTTATTACTTTTTCTTCCCTTGGGTCTAAAACTGTTTCCCACATGTTGAAAATTTGCAGCTGATTTTTATTTTCTAAAACTGAAAAGTTGGGAGTTATACTCCTTATGAAATACCAGAGGGCCATTAGCAGAATTTATGGTTGACGTTGGCGTTGATTGCCTCTGTACCCTAATTTCTATTTACCCTTTGGGCCCTCACAATTTCCCTTATTTCGTTCCACTGTTACACCCTAATGTGTTGAATGTGAACGAAATATTTTCGAATCAAGTTTGCTACATGCAAAAACACACTATTTTATTTTCTACATTTCCTACCAAACTTGTTGGTTTAAACGCACGTATACGTCAAATATGTATAAAGGAATTACTTCTAAATTTTAAATAAAGATTTAAATTAGGCTTAATGCGCCCATTGACAGTAACAAATAACAACTTTTGTTAGGTTTAATTCATTAATTTCGAATCAATAGGGCGTTTAATGTAACTCTATTTTGTAGATTTAGAAATTTAACTGTATGACAATAATATAGGCATATTATACTAATAATTTCTGAAATAAGAAATCGTATCGTATACATGTGGACGAAATAAATATAAATAGGTAATGTTTTGATCTGTATATTTAAAAATGATACTTTTTCTTTATATTTTTCTTTTAGAATTTCAATTCATATTGTAAGTTTAGTTAACTGAGAATATCCATATTATTTTAGGTATCTAATAGAAGAAATGCCTAAAACCCACACAATAATTAAGATAATTTGATTAATCGGTATTTTAATTCAAATCACGATCAGTTAATAATGTTCTCAGATTTGTAGATCTAAGATGTTCTCTTAATGATTTCTCAGATTTGTAGACTAATATACAAATACAACTGGAAAATTATGTATATTAACTATTATCTACTAGTAAAAGCTAAGTAAGTAGTATCTAAAATTGTAACTACTTCCAGTATTCACAGGGGTGAAAAATTCTATATTCGTAGATCCAGAATTCGAGGAAATTTTAAATCTCCATTCCTTTGAAGAATGAAGGAGTGTTCAAAATGTAACTTTAAACCTAAAAAGAACAAACTTTTAGTTATGTAAATAGTTGAACCGTTACAGAAATCGGGTCTCAAAGTTTTTTTCCGCCTTTCCCGAGTATGTTTTAAAGTTCTCCCAAAATCAGTCCCCAAAACGTGTAATTACAAAATTACAAACTATAAATTTACAATTGTTGTTTTCAAGTGGCAAATTGACAATGTTACAACTGAATAGTAATATTAGTTCCAAACCAGAAAAAAAATGCTATTGCCTATAAACCTGATAATAATAGTACTTAATATTGTTAAAATTTATCTCGGTAAATTACTTTTATATTGAGCTTTTTTGTTACAAAACTGTCTATCGTATCCCCTATATTTCCATTCAAAGATGCTTCCCCGTATTCACGGTATTGATTCGGATCTTCGATTGCAGCTATATAAACAAACATAAACTTTGCACTTATATTTCTAAATTTCATTTATCGACCCTTTGTTTTTATGTAAACAATCATCATCATAAGGTTGTCAGTCCTAAGACTGGTTGGACACGTACCTCCACTGGCTCCCATACTACAAACGTGATTTTTATAGACAATGGTACGAAACCCTTCGAGTCCGACTCGCACTTGGCCGGTTTTTTATTACGCATGAGTAGGTAAAATATTGTTTTAATCAAACGTAATATATACACTTAATACCTAAGTATAGGTACATAAAATAAAATTTCGGAGAAAAGTTCAATCGAATTAAAGCGCGTTCGTCCTTTGATAGCCTTGATAGACCAGGAACTTTTCTGATTCGATTCCTCGATCTCCGGGGAATGATTCGGGGTAAGTAACCCCAAAAACGACGACGATCTTATGTGTGGTCAGTTAGTGAGAGTATTGTAACGTTGTAAGGAAGAAACGCATCTAATCGAAAAATAACCTGTCTCAGGAGGACAAGTAATCATCCTAAAAAGTGAACAAAGAAGGCAGANCGCACCCGTACAACGCCGTGCTCCAAACATACACCTTTAACAACCTTTTTCGAATTTCTAAATTAACCGTTCGCGAGCATAGAAGTGACTTCTTGTTATTAAAGGCGTCACGACCCTGCGCTATCATCTGCTTTATATCCCTACTACTCCTTCCATCCTGACTTATCTGACTTCCTAGGTATGTAAAATCAGCTACTTCTTCTAATTTTTCGTTTCCTATCTTTATATTCACTCTTTCCCCACTTTTTCTTCCCTTGAATACCAGTATTTTAGTTTCACTTTTATTTATTTTCATAGAGTACTGATCTGTCAGGACCGCTTCCATTTTATTTAAAGCTATCTGTAGGTCCTCCTTGCTACGATAAAATGAGTATAGGAGTTTAGTATATAAGATTGTGATAATTGATACAATGCGATCGTTATCGGCAATAATAAGAATATATTCGTAGTATAGTCACGTTCATAATAAAGTTTCCACTTTTCAATTACTAGCGGTTGTTTGCGGCGCTCTTTATTGGAAATTCCTTAGCTAGTCAGTTAATTTTCAGAGCGAACGGAACGAGAAGCACATTAACTCCCACCCACCTTACCTTACCCTAAATAGCTGCCGCACCAACTTAATTCGTTTAGCATACAACATTCCTATAGGGTATTAGCCACCTCGCAATTTCGTTCCCATTCTGTTTATTATTATACATTACCTCCTTTTCTTTCTCTTTTTTATGGGAAGGTATGAATATTATAAAATATTTTACAGTTTAGAAAATACTACAAATGGCGCAGTAAACGCCATCTGTAGCACGATGCTACATTTTAGGATTACGTATGTAGCATCGTGCTACGTGCTGTTAAGGCAGCAGGTAAAAGTTGGTCTGTGTTCTGTCGGAGCTGCCTGCGGCGCGCTGATGAGATCCAAAAAGAGCGAAATCGCGATCCGCATCTGGCAGTTTCGACAGAATACAGACCACTTCGAATTATTTTATTTTTCAGATTTTTTGTCATTAAAAGTAATTACGTAAATATAAGGGTCACCAAGTTAACTTCTAATAATCTATCTTAGGACGTTTAAAATAGCACAAGAAATTAGTTTTGTGCTCCAAGTGCCTATACGTGATGGTATAAGCCGTTTATAAGTTTTGATGTTTATTTCTTATTAAAATAGTAAGTCTATTCTGATTAAATACCACCCTCAGCAACGTCCCATTCAAAAAGTCGCTAAAAAATTAAACCGATGAAATTTTAATTCCTGGTTGACGGATTTTCAACGAGAGGGTTGAAATGAAATAGTTAGAACGAGCCTATAATGTTTATAAACTAAAAGTTCGCAATGTAACAAAATCATACTAGTAACTTATCTTTAATCATAACTTGATATACCAACAAGGGACAGAAATTGTAACAGATCGGTTACACTAATGTAAATACAAGAACTATATAGAAATAACAAATAATTTAGTATAGTAATCAATAAATAATACAAAGTAGGACCAGTCCCAATAGAATATTAATTCCAATTTTTATTAAGTAGGTTTTTTGTTACTTATACTTATAAAGTTACTATTGTTGGTGTTTGTTTTTTAATTCTTTTTCTTCTGGTAAAGAATTGCCCGGCAATGCCTGGTACCCTGGTACCACCCGGTGTCATTACCCGGTAACTAAAAAATGTATCGGATCCTCCTACAGGATTCAAATAGTGTACCCAGTCGATTTCTAGTCTACTCTTTTAATTCTGGTGTCCATTATTATCTAATAAACTGCAAATAAAGATATTTTCCAGACTGTCTTCGTTTAGATAATTAAAACGAACATAGGTTTTTTAAATTACAAAGGAATTCTCAGAAATATGTAACAAAAAGCGATCCTTCTGTAACAATCGAAACATAGGTACCTATTCCATTGCTACTCTACAATCGCAATAAACTACCTGTCTTTGTTAATTTCCCACATTTTCCGCCTTAAAATAATAAGAATACTTCCCTTTAAATATGCTTATAGTTATAAGTTTAGAAGTACATCAGTATATACTTACTGATTTTAGTGAAAAACGAAAATCAAAATTCCATTAATATCTGCATATGAAAAAATTATGTACTTACCATCATATGTATTATCACCGCCCCCATCGAAATAAAACTTGACTATCACTTCACTCAGGAAAAAAGTTGACGACGCTACTGTGCCTAACATCGTAGTCTTCATAAATAGCAAGGAACTAGTTGTAATTTAAGTGGTAAACGTTTTTCTGGATTACCATCAAGTTTTCTGAGAATTCGCGAATTTTCAAACTCTTAAAATTGCCCATATGTTGTAATCTTCTAAATGATACGAAATACCTAATAATGAACGCACCCAGTATCGCAGATCCAATCTCCGGCCCAATAGGCTCCAGTTTTGAAATTCAATTATAGTTAAGTGGGCTAAGGGAACCGGGGGAAGGCCGCCTTCTCCCAGGGGGGCTCTCAGAGCCCTTACACGCCATGATCACGAATTTAGTAGGTGCTTATTGTGCGTCATCAACTGACAGCTCGTTGTGCTTGAAAAATTTTAAACGAAATTATTATCTGCTTCGATTTGAGTGTTAGAAGCGAATTCACTCAAAAAAAAAAAACATAATAAAAGTTATCGACTGCGATTACGTAAAAAGTTATGTAATTATTTTATTTACTCTTTGAACAGTTAGGATTATCAAATACACGTATTAATAAGTTTACACATTAAAAATAATACAAAACTAATTGTTTTACAAAATATAAATTAATTGACGTACATTTATTACTATTCTGTTTCAGGTCAGTTAGATAACACCAAAGAATTTAGTGTCGATGGTTTGGGAAATTTTAGTAAAAAGAAGAAGAAAAAGCGGCGTCACAGGTAAGTAGTAACTCCGATAACAAAATTTCTATTTCCTTTTTCGAGTTTACTTCAGAAATATCTCTGTTTCAGTTCGAATAAAATAAACTTTATTTGCCTAAGGGTTGAAAAAATAATTTGGCTAGTTCAGTTTATGTAATCAATAGTGTTAAAAGTAGATCTAAGAATAATTGTGTTTCAAATAAATCTACCCTTGGTGGGTGTGTGGCAGGACGATCTTCACGAGTTACCAACTGGAGGAATTGGAGAAGGCCTTCAAGGATGCTCACTATCCTGACGTTTATGCAAGAGAAATGCTCAGTCTGAAAACTGACCTACCAGAGGATAGGATACAGGTATGTAGTTTTTTATTCCTACTCTATTTGTTCAGTTCAAAATAGATTTCCTTTAAAGAGTGTACCCATCACCATTTAGAAGCTTGGCGAAAATGATAAAAGTACTCTCTCCTCTCCTAATAACTTTAAGAAAATAGCAAATGGGAATATTAATACGATAATTTGTTAGTCGCTCTACAACCGTTACTGTTTACATTTTCATCGATGTGGTCGCTTAACTGTTATCGTAATTTCTCTATACGTTTCCAAATCACGCCCAGGACCGGCTTCGGTGCTTTACTCACCATGCGATTCCCTATTGACATCTTTGAAATTTGGGTAATTTATTTCATAAAGTAATTCTAATTAATGCAAAGATGCAGGAACAGATCGTAATTAGGACTTATTAGAATTTTTTAAATTCATATTTGCAAGACAGATAAGAGTTATGCTAATGCAAAAGCATCTGTCACGTGTTACAGGCTGATTAGATAATGAATAAATCTTTCTGACATTAAAATTGGGCAGTAAGGAAGTTGGTCATGTCAAATTGGCCATTGCTGTTGACTGTGTTAATGATACCAATGTATTTCCAAAAAGTTTTATTAGAACTGAAAATTTTATTGAAGATGTACAATATATTGTATATTAATTTCGTTTATAAATTGGCGAATTTTGAACTTTTATTATCCATCATAACTTTGCTGTTCTAGACTGGTGCAAAATTTCTCAAGTATACTTAGATATTGCTTCAGACATGGATCTTACTTTATGTGTAGCAAAAATCTTCTAATACTAACACAAGTGAAATTGTCTTGAAAAGCCTTTTCTGGACACGCACCCCACCGTGTGGTGTTTCATTTAGTTACCTTGCACTATATACCCTCTCACGTCATATAAAAATTAAAAAAGAATCTAGATATCTAATAACAAATTTCAATTGAAAATTATTATTATTAGCCTCGGAATGATGATGCGGATGTTGGTAAATGTCTACAAAGCCTTAACATGCGTGTTCGACACGTTCTTGATTTCGTAACTAAATAATTTTCCAATCATGATCCCACAATTACCTCATTGAATCCATAACAGTTGCGATTAAGAAATGAGTTGTATAACAGATAGGTTTCTTAATAACCATCGTTACTAGTCATACTGTTTCTAACAGCTTCCGTTTTACTCACAGTGCGTTCACGCTGGGTATACTGGTACTTTTTTGGTCACTTATTTTGGTTCCAAAAACAAGCGGAAAATTCGCTCTTACCATAGTTTGGGCTTTGTAGTTGCGACTGCAGGTGCCCTTTGTTCAGAAACCGAAGCAACAGGGATCGTCATTTATATGGGGATCAAAAAATAAAAAGAAAGCAAAGCGCAGCCCACTAATTATCCGTAGTGAAGTTGCACGGCTCAATGTTAGGTTCTAGTGCGTCGTCTTGCCGATTGGATTCGCTACGGTCGGATCCCGCGATTGGCTGCAACCGCAACGCCCTTTAATGGCCGTCGTGTGCACGCAAGAAATAAATGGGAACCTGTTCCAAACAAGGCTTTGTTTTTCGACAGGCCTTGTGTGTCAATTCACTTTCCAACAGTTGTCATAAAAGAATGAGCAAGGAGCAGCTTATTCGACTATCAAGCCGTCATTGTCTCCTTCCTTCTTTGAGTCATCTCATCGTCAAAGGTCATGTTCTTGTCGAACCATAGATCTATTCAAAATATGTTAATTCTGTACCATATTTTGTTTAATACCTTACGAAACTAATTACTTCCTAAAAATATTTATTGTCAATGAGTTTTTTCTAATGGTTCGGTGGTAGGTAGAGTGAGTGTCGGGAAATGTCTCTGTGACTCCCAAAGGTATTATCCTATTAATGCCCAGTGATAATAACCAAACTGGGCCTAGAGTGAATATCCCTATTAACTCTGGAGAATTGGTTTTGGAAAACTAGGGCCCCCTTGTAGCAGAATTTACCATTTTCCATGTCTGTTAGTTCCTCATCCTGGATGCTCGTTATAGTAAAAAGGTACAAAAGTTGTGTTAAGTAAACTTCCACAAAATAAAATCTTGCAAAACCGTATGGTTTATGTATATGCCTCATGCAATAAAAGGGCAATAAAAGCTTAAATGTGGATTTAGAGAATGACAATTCCACTTAAAATATTTCTGTTACAATTGGCTTTTCTATTATTCAGATATACTATGAAATTCTTTTTTAACATTTGTGTAGGTACATTCACAGTTTTTCCAAAATTAAGCATCTCTAATCTTACTCCAGTATTATTTCATTTATGGCAGAATGGAGTTGGTGATTATCGTAGAAAGGAGGGTTCGCTTGAAGTAAGGTGCTTGATGACCAAAACACTTGTGCCACACTTCTTTTAATAAACAAAAAACCAACCAACTATAACAATAAAAGATGCGTATTGATTACCAAAAACTACATCATTGACAAATCTGAAAATGTATTTCATCTCCGCTAATTAAGAAGGTGATCTTCAGTACCCTAATGACAGCTAGTTTCTCTGGTAGTGGATGATTTAGTTTCTCAAATGTATTTCACACCCGATATTTAACTATTCTTGAAATCCAATACAGTTTTCATGTAGACATTCTGGATCCTCTTGGTGTCTAAGTATGGTACTTGACGATTCTTGGAACCCATTAGTACTTCTCCTACCCGATGTTTCTTGCAATTAGTTGTCAAAAATATGTATTTCTCATGCCCGACAATTTTGGAGCTACTTCCAAATTTGTTCTTTTGGTACTCATCGATGATATTTTCTCTTTCATGGTATGCCCTAACGCGTGACCTAATTGCGGAACAAATCCCAGAGAGGTAACACTAAGGAAAATAAAATTCTAGAGATACTTTTACATGAAATGATATTAATATTTTTACGGACAACTACATCACTAAGCCTGGAATTAACACATGTTATAGGTGGCGTAGATTAGGCTATGATAGGTACCAGTTTCCCCCTTCTCCCCATGTAGTATTCGACTGTCTGAAATGTTTCCTGACTACGGCACCGAAAATGAATCTTCCCCCTTCACTTTTACCGGGTGGTATAGTCTATAGACTCTAAAGCAGGAAGTTGCTAAACTTTTAAGCTTGTTTCATGATATTCAACGAACCCCGAAGTGGGGAATGAAATAAAATACGACTTTATTCGTTATTATTTATATTATCAGTAAGTTACAACATATTATACTAAACAAGACTAAAATTATATTAAAAAATCAATGCGAGCGGTGACCTTCCATTTCTCTAGAAAGTTTTGGTTAAGTCCGGCACATAACTAGTAGTTTCTAGTTTAAGATTTGACTAATTTTTGATTACTTATTTGGCTTCTTAGCTTGTTGTTTATAAAGTTCATAAAAGAGAAAACTTGTTCGCACGAATTTGTTGACCCAAAGAACTCCAACACTCCAAAAACAATTTTTTATTTAGTCACAGCATTCTGGAAGATTATTCCTGGTGTCAAAATTAGTTGCTCAGGCATAGACATCCCTTTTGGAGCTGGAACAATGAGTTACGTTTCAAAACCTTGTACATATTAGTCATTTTGTTGCAAAAGTTTTCCAATATTTCGTTTTATATTGCTTATGTGACGGAACCCTTGTAAGGACATGGATATTAGGGAATTAAAATCGTCATCTCGTCTCTGGGTTTTCTAAAATGTTTTGCGTATAAATTTTGATGATCGATTAACAGGGAGGGTTTTTGGGAAGATAAAATGCGTTTAACAAGTTGTCAAGCACCGTTATTGGAATCACAGCGAGGCGCCCCGTCTCGATGTAATACATTTGAAAAAATTGTTTGTGACAGTCCAATTTTCGCCAACTTGCTGGTTAGATTATGTAGAAAACGCTTCGGGCTTTATTCCCCATATTCGATTTAAGTAAGGTTAACTTTTCCATTATTTGAACGACGGCAGAAGCCCTAAAGTGCTACTGTTATTGACAATGCAGAAATTATTATAAGTGAAATTAACAATGACGTTTTACAAATTATTTATCTCTTCAACACTAGGGTAATCTATATGAATAAGACAATAGTAGGATCGTCAATCTTGCTAAAACTACTGGATAGATTTTGATAAAACTTTTTTAGGTTTATTCTTTAGACACACGGTCTTATATCTCAAAAAGAAATTATCATAGTGATCTATTTAATATCAAGTTATTAAAGTTTCTATACGTAAAGACGACAACGATGTCCAATGATACGTGTTCTCTTGGCACTGAGAAAAAGGCAACCGACTCACTGCGCATGCACGAGAATGGAAAGAAGTTCCTACTTCTGCCTCACCGTAATGTAACAACAGAATTAGCTGTAACTGTGAAAAAATAAAATAGTTTGAGAAACAAAATCGATAAGAAATTTTACAGTTTTGAAAATCAAATTAACATGAGGGTACTGTAATGCTTCAACTGGGGGATATTGAAAATGCCTTAGATAGAAATGGTTACAAACGAAGAGCTACTAAAGGGAAATGGAAGTTAAAAAGACAGGCTATATACAATAAATTGCTAGGACACATTCCCACCCCGGGGTCTATCCCCGACATCTCCACATACTTTTACCGAGCGGCATGGCCTAAAGATTTAGACCATTGCTTAGCATTCCGGGTCCGGCTGCCTTGGTCCAAATTTTCTTGGATCACTTAGGCAAATGTTGGGGCAGTCATATTCCACAGATAATCTTTCCTTCTCTTCTGTCTTCATTTCGTCCGTCTCATCTTTCTCATCCGAACCACCACCCACCCATTCCCACGATTCCTGAAAAGAGGCTTTACCGGTGTAGTCCGGATTATTCCAGCATTAGTGGCTTCTGGGAATGAAGCACTCAAAAGACAAAAAAAAGATTCCTAGGCATGAAGGGCTAGTTAGACATGCACAGAAGCAGAAGTAGGAGTTAAGAAGGGCACAGGTAGATGTAGATTAGATTACTGTTCGCAAATAGTTGAAGATATAGATTGCTGTAGTTTTCAAAAAATGCGAAAATTGACTCAAGGAGGAA